AAGAAAAGGAGTGGGGGTCCTTCCCCCTTAATGGGAAAGGAGTTCTTTGGACTTTTGGAATTGTAGATGGGCCAATAAAAGAGAAGTCTCTCTTTATTTAAAGGAGTTTGTTAGAGATTATGATATGTTTTTTGCTGGTATTGTTGAAACAAAAATATCCTCAATTGATAGATGTGAAGTTAGATAAGTTTTGGGTGACAATTGGGATTTCTTTTTGGTTCCTTCTAAAGGTTTTTTTTGGGGGGGGGGGGGGGGATTTTGGTTTTATGGAGGTCAAATTTTGCTTCCTTTTCTTTGGTTTATTCCTCTTCTCAATATGTTATTGGGATGTTGAATATGGCTAATAAAGGTACTTGGATTGTCTATATTGTTCATGGTAGTAAAGAGTTGTATAATAGAAGAAAGTTATGGGATTGTTTGGAAAGGCATTTTAATGTGGATTATCCTTCTGTAGTGGGGGGAGATTTCAATTTCATCTTGTCGCAAGAGGAGAAGAGAGGTGGAAAGAAATTCTCTTTCTCATTAGGACCTCAAGAGATGAAAGCTTTCATAAATTCCAATGATTTTCATTGGCGGGGGGGGGGGGGGGGGGGGGGGGTGTGGTTGGTTGGACTGAAGTATACTTGGTGTAACAATAAAAGTGGTAGTGCTCACATTTTGGAAAGGCTTGATAGATGTCTTTTGAATTCTAAAGATTTGGAGGTGGTTGATCAGGCATATGTTCGCCATTTGGCTAGAATTGCTTCAGATCATTGTCCCATTATTTTGAGGATCTTTAACAAGAAAGATTGTAAAAACAAAATTATGCATTTATAGGATGTTTGAATCTCTTATCTTGCTTCAACTATAGTGGTGATTAAATCATGGAACAAAGCAATAGGAGGTGATGCTATAAATGTACTCAACAAAAAAAAAAAAATCATAGAGTTCTAAGGGCAAGGGCATTTTTTTTGGAGAAGAACTAAGCTGAAAAACTTAATAGAATTGAAGGAAATTTTGAAAAGAGATATTGTTGATCTTCAACGGGAGGAAGCTAACAGCTTTCTGTCCAAGAATAGCCTTGTGATGCTTAGATCAAAGATTAATAAATTAAATGACACATTTTCTTATTTGAATACTTGGTGGACACAAAGGGCTAATGTGAAGTGGATTGAAGAAGGAGATCTAAATTCAAATTTTTTTCACAACTTTGCTAATGGAAAAATAAATGGTAATTTTATTTACCATGTGAGAAATGGTGATGGTTTTTTAGAGGAAGATCAATTGGCTATTGAAGACATCTTCTTTAATTTCTTCATCAACAAATGGAGATTTAGAAGCTACAATTTGAAAGGTTGGCCCTCTACTTTGTCTTTTTTAAGTAATGAAGACTTGAATCTTTTAAAATATGATTTCTCTTTTAAAGAAGTGGAACAAATTATAAAAAAATTGGGAAAATAATATTTGTCCTGGAGCGGATGGTATTTCATATTCTTTTATTAAGGCATATTGGGCTGTAATTGGTAAAGATGTATGTCAAGCTATTCTTCAATTCTCATATTCTCGTAAGATGTGTCCCAAATGAAAGGAGACTTTGGTTGTGCTCATTCTGAAAGTTAATAATCCACTTTTTCTTTCTAATTTCCAGCCTATTGGTCTTTGTTTATCAATCTATAAAATTGTGGCTAAGATGTTATTAAATAGATTGATGAAGGTTATTGGCAATTTAATTTCTGATGAGCAAGCAGCTTTCATTAAAGGCAGGTCTTTATCATATCTTTTACTTCTTGCTCAAGAGCTCTTTTATAAATTTAGATATTCCAAGTCTAAGAAGGGATTTGTGGCAATCAAAGTTGATATGGAGCAAGCTTATGATAATATGGCTTGGACTACTCTTAGACAAATTTTGGAATACTTTGGATTTCCTCTTAAGTTTTCTCACCTTCTGTGGAGTGTGTACCAGATCTAAAGCTTTCAATTATTTTTAATGGAAAATTTTTGAAATAGATTGAGGATAAAAGTGGATTTAGACAAGGTTGTCCACTTTCACCATATTTATTTATTTTTTGTTCTCAAATCTTGGCTAATAGTTTTTTTCAAAAAGGGAGGAATCTGGGATTAAAGCTACATCATCTACTCCAAGAATTTCTCATCTACTATTTGCTGATGATGTTCTTATGTTTTCAAAAGCAAAATATCATATATTTAAAGAAGATTAAAAGTATTATCTATATTTATTGTAGTTGGACTGGTCAAAGTGTGAATATCAAGAATTCTATTATATTTTTTGTTAAATTTGTGAACCATAGTAATAGAAGAGCTATTTATAAATTGTTTGGCTATAAGGAGGTAAAAGAGAAGTGGTATTTGGGTATTAATTTTTCATTGAGAAGGCTTTCATTTGCTAATTTTAGTTTTTTTGCCGAAGAAATTTCTTGTAAAATGAGTGTATGGGGAAACAAATTCATATTGTTATTAGGGAGGCTATTATTGATTAAAACTATTGTAATGGCTTTGTATGACATTCTTTAGTTCCTTTGATCCTCGTAAAAGGTATTATAAGATGCGTAGAAATTTTCTTTGGAATAACCATGCTGGTGATCATTGTTTACATTATATTGCATGGAGTGAACTTTGCAAACGGATGAATGCTAGAGGTATAGGAGTTCATTCGGCAGTTTCAATTATTGGACCAGTGAGAGCAAAATTCATTTTGAATTTCTTTAATAAACCAGACTCTATACTCTATAAGTCTTTATTGCCTAAATATGGTTTTGATTATTTTCAAGATAATTTCAGGAGGAACGGATCTATCACTTGGAAAATTTAAAGAGTGGAGCTATAGCTCTTTGGCCTTTGGTTAGATGGAATATTGATTTTGGTATTTTAGATAATACCGTAAGAGATATATGGGTCTTTGATGCTTCCTTTAATAAATCGCCAACATTCATTGCTATTTTGGATGAAGAACTTCCAACGGTGGATAAATTTATTATGGATGGTAATTGTAATATTGTTGACCTTCTTAAATTCTTTTGGAAGCCTCTAGCTGAAACTATTTTGCAAATACAACTTTATCTATAAATATTAAATGATAGGTTAGATCTAATAAGGAAGTTTATTGGAAAATCTATTGCAATAATGGCATTGGGTAGTGCGGTTGAAGAATTACCTGAAGTTGAGTATTGGAGGTGGATGAGGAAATTGAAATTGCCACCTCAATTGGAAATAGTATAGTGGCGATTATGGAACAATGCTCTACCATCATCTGATTTATTATTTTTTCAGAAGAATTTTGGATTGTTATTACTGTTCGAGAGGATGTAATATAACATAAAATTAGGAAAAAAAATTTGGCTGTCAATTGCTCTAAACTTATTCAAGTTATTGCTTTGGTTAAAAAATGGGGCTTTCCAGTTCCTTTTGTTCTCCTCACTAATGGATTGCAAGGATAAATTGAATGTGTTATCTATTTAAAATCCTTTTATAGAAAATTTTTATTGTTATTTGGTCTTTTATTATTGGAAAAGTAGGAAAAATGTTATTCATCATGGAAGTGAAATTGGTTTGGTTTCCATTATCTCTAATGAAATTAGTTTTGCATCCACCTCTTTCAAGTTTAATCTTTATTTGGATCACTAGGGTGTTAATCAGCTTTCTATGTTGTCTTTATAATTTTGGCACCCTCCTCCACCTGAATGGATTAAAGTTAATATCGATGCAACTGTAATGCATTCTAAGGAGGCTGGTGTGGGAGGTGTTTTTAGAGGCCATAAAGGGAGATTTCTACTTGCTTTTGGGTTTAAATATATTCTTTGGGATAGTGGATATTTGGAATTACTGGCTTTTTTATCCTTAAAGAAAGTAATTCAGGAGTGGATGATTGAAGCTAGAGGTATCATTATTGAAGGAGTTAATATCAATATCATTAAGTACTTGCAAGGCTCAGTTGGCAAGGTGGCTTCGAAGGCTAATGTAGATATGGTGGAAGACTTGTCCTTTCATAAAGATTTTGATAATATTTTATTTCATTTTCTAATAGAAATTGTAATAAGTTGGCCGATTTTTATGCTAACTTTGCTTTTGATGGGGATTTTGTTTGGGATGACCTTGGATGTAATAATGTTCATCCTTCTTTCTTTTATTTGTTAAAGGAGGATTGTGATAGGTTATCTATCACTTAGTAGTTTGTAATAGGTTTGTTTTTATTTAATGCTTATTGCAGTTTCTAAAAAAAAAAAAAAATATTTTGGTTTCTATAGAAAATATAACAAATAAAATTACTAAATAGCATACAGATAAATACAAATTAACATAAAAAATGGTTGCTAATATACACAATATTAATGAAGAGTAGTATTTATTGGTCACTAATTTAGAAACATAAAAAATTTGGTTCACTAAAATCCTCAGTGACAAGGTAACTGCGATATACCAATGACCCAAATATTTTTTGTTGTTATTTTCTTTAGCATCCAATTATCATTTTTAGTGACCAATTTTAATGGTCGATAATAATCTATTATTTTGAAGTGATTAATTTGGTTGGTTAGAGTTCTAAATATTACACCCAATTTGATTATTACTCAAGTTAAAATTAGTGTGATTTCTCGCGCTAGGAATTTAAATATTCAAGACAAGGTTATTAGGTTAATTATTAATAGCATTTAGGGATTCAATTTATGATGCATTTGGGTTATTAGAGGATCCAAAAACATTCTCTTTAACTGGCAAAGGTGTACTCTAGGATGAACTTACTTCAATATTATCTAGCTTCCTAAATATAGTAGCTACTTATGCATTTAAGATATATAGGGCATCTTATTCATATACACTAGCTACCATTCTAATGCTAACTCTTTAAGGAACCATTAAAAATTATTGGAGGTCATTTCTTCAATCATAGCATAAGCTTCGTCAAATGGTTTTGACATTAAAGATCAAGTATAACTTAATCAATAATGGATCAACAAGAGAAAACTAAACCATTATAAAATGTCTAAATAATAAGTTAATAGGGTAATCCTTAGTGAGGAAACTTCCTAAGATATTCTTTGAATCTTTTCCAAGCCTCATAAATAGATTCACCATATAATGGAGAAAATGAATTAATGTCATTTCTATGTTTTGCTTTCTTAAATGGAGAAAGTATTTGGCCAAAAACTTGAGATCTAGGTCATTCAAAGTAGTGAATGCGCTTGGGGGTACAAATTTAACCACATTTTAATTTAGACTCTTAATTAAAAAGGAAATAACATAATTCTAACTTTATCATCCGATACACAATTATATTTAAATGTTAGTCATATTTTTTTAAAAAAACTAGCTATATGTAAGTTAGGATCTTCTATAGGGGTTCCCCTAAACTGAGAATTTTGTACCATTTAAATTATTGCGGGCTTTATCTCAAAATTGATAGCTTGAATATTTGGTTTATTTATGCTTTGGTGAATACCTAAACCATAAGATTAGTATATTCCCTAAGAGGTTTATGTTGATAAATTTCCTGATTTGTTCTTCCATTTTAAAATCTTATCTAGAATTGTTTAGGCTTTCTAATTTTTGTAATAATTTTTTTTTTCAATTTCAGCATCAAACACGATTTCTACTATATATTCTTATTATGCATGTAACAGTAAGCAAGATAAAATAAAATTATATCATAAAACACAATTTAATAATTAATAATATAACTATAATAAATTTTAACAAATTAAGATATGATTGACAATACATAACAAGTAAAATTAAAAATAAGTACAAAGTTGCGCAATTCGTTCCACTATATAAAGTGCAAGAAAGGATAATTAACTTCAAAACCCCAATAGTTGTACTAAAAATTAGACTAATTTTTAGTTTCACATAATACTTATCTTTTTAAATATTATTTATTATGCTATAATGCAAATCATATTCTACAAAAGTATGCATGGCATGCAAGTAATAAAGTGATGGACTATGGTTCCCATGAGGATTTAATATTACCCTAAATTACTCTTGCACTGCTTATAATAGGTATATTCTTTCATTTTTTTATTTTTTTATTTATTTTTTTTCAATCTTTGTGCTAGGGCTTTGCCCTAGCCACCTTTTCTTCAATGTAGTCACCCATGGTATGATGCTTCCACTGACCCATGGTATATTCTTTCATAGGTATATTCTTTCATTTATTTATTTATTTTTTTTCAATCTTCGTGCTAGGGCTTTGCCCTAGCCACCTTTTCTTCAATGTAGTCGCCCATGGTATGATGCTTCCACTGGCCTTCTCTCCACTGATGGTGTGAGAAAGCCCTCACTCATTTTGTCTTCGGCCAACATTTGATGGTTATGCATCTTTGATGGTGGTAAATTATGTTTACTTGGGAGATCCTTGCTATTTAAGTGGTAGAAATTACTCTATAGTTTATTGACACCCTTTACGATGCTTATTCTGTGGAGTCCTTCTCTGACATCAAAAGCCACAACATGTCAGGGGCTATAAGCTATATGGATTTTAGATGAAGAGGTTATTTACTCTTGCTGCTAGTTTCAAATTTTCTTTGGTATGTTATTTTCCCAATGGCAGGCCTTCTTTCATTGCGATTCAAAATTTTTTCTTCAATCCTAAACTAAGAGGTCAGTTTGTGGTCACCCTCATGGATGCTAAGCATGTTTTGATCAAACTTAACAATGATATGGATTTTAGTATAATTTTTGCCCATAGATCATAGTTTATTTTTAATTGTTATATGAAGTTTACCAAATGGTCTCCATTTTGTTACACTATGGTAGATTCCCCTGATTATCCTCATTTTGGATTCTTTCCCTAACCCTAGGCCCTATTTTTTTCTCCCTGCATACTACATGGCTTTGGCCCCTTGTTTGGTTTCCCTCTAATAATGCTACTTTTATTGGGTCCATCAATCCCTTGATTTCTCTGGTGTTAGTTGAGTTAGACATAACTAAGAAATATCATGCTTCAATTTAGTTTGGGCCTAAAAAATTCTATTAGATTCTACATATTTAGATGGAGGAATTTTCTCATTATTGTAATTACTACAAGTCATTGGGGCACATAAAAATTGAGTGTATCATCCTTATTTAAGATGGGATTCACATACTAATAAAAATAATTTGCCTAATATTATTATTATGGATATCATGCATATTGAGGAAAATAATAATGGTAACATAATAATAAGCTGCATGGAATTTTGCTTTTTCCAGATAATGCTTAAGATTTTGTGGTCAGTGAGGGTAAGATTAATTCTATGGAAAACTTAGATCCTTCTACTAGATGTTGTGAGAATCAAGTAGCTTTATCCCCTAATAGGAATCCTGTGGAACACCGACTTATAAATAATTTGAAAAATGTGACCTCTGGTGATACTGGCAAGGGGTTTCTTGCTTCTGTGGATGCTCCAACTATTGTTAGTAATATTTTGGATGTCTTGAACAAGGTGACTATAATTATTTTATCGGTTTCCCCGATCTCTGATGAAGTGGTTATTAATCTGGATGGTGGGAAGCATTTGTTGAACTTGAATTATATAGATCCTATTGACCACTCTGATTGGATTTTCTTTCCATCGAATATTTATTGGGAAGATGAGAAGGAATAATGATGGTATATCTAACTTTTTAATGGAAGATAGTAATTTAAATGTTGTACAAATGGATAATGAGGGATTCATTATTTTTTCTGGCAAGAAAGGTAAGAAAACTAAAAATAATGGTTTCAAGATTTCTATTGGCAGGAGTACTCGTTCTAATGCTCATTCGTGCACTTCTATTAGTTAGTCCCCATTGAATTGTTTGGGTTGTTTTATTGGTGCCTTTTGTCCTATTTTGTTATTTTCTTTATGTTCTTCATTTTATTCTAGTAGGGACCTTAAGCTATTTGGGTTCTTATATTTCATTTTGATTATAGTTTTCCTAGAAGTAGTGGCTCGAGGTCCCTTTAAGACCTTGTATCCTTTTATTATTTGAACATGGAGGCCCCATAACAGGTTTTATAAAAAAAAAAAGGTAGATTCTTTCTATTGTTATTGTGAAATAAAGTAAAAGTACTACTCTTCTCTGTAGAGCTTATTGGAGTATTTAGCTAAGATTACTCTCAACTACAATTTTAATATCTCCTTAAGATCCCATACCCTAACCATCGTATATTTATGCAAGGCAAATTTACATTTTAATTCCCTTATTATTCTTATATTCCTCCATTGAGGCTATATAACATACTATATTTTAAATTAATGCAAGTAATTCTATTTGAAATTTTTACAAGAGAGCAGAGTAAGATTTTTACAAGAGTGGAGAGTAAGATTTTTTTGAAGGAGGAGAGAGAGAGTTGGCCAAGGGAATTTTGGAGGGAGTTATCTACCTATTTGAATTTTGAAACGCGTGGTTGATTGGGAATCAACATAATTCATCCCAAGGGTTTTTGGAATGACCTTAAAATGCAATTAATATGGCAACTAATCAATTTTGATACTAAGGATTTAATTGAGTTATATTGAAATAATTTAAAAGAAAGCAATTGATTTAAATGCAAGAAAAGGGGGATGGCCAAGGCTTTTCAAACATGAATGAAATGAGTTTTGGAAATATTATAATTCAAATTTTTTAATACAAAATTCAAATAAACTCAAATATGGTAGGACAAATTTTTAGAATTAAATGGAATTAATACAAATAATATAGAAATAAATTATATGTTGGCAGAAAATCAAGAGATCCAATGTAATAAAAGACAATATGAAATTTAGGATATTTTTTCAATTATTATGGAAATATTTGAAATTTGAATTTTGCATAAAAGTGGAAATACTTATGTCAAAAATCTCACGAAATTGTTTTTGAATAATCTTTCAAAAAGACTCATGCAAAATTTGGCCACCCATAAATTTCAAATAGTGGAAATCATAAAAAGAATGTAGGAGAGAAAATAATAATAAAGAGAGAGAAAAAAATTCAATTATTAAGCAAGAATAATTCTTACATGTGCCATAAATTAATGTATAAATAATCATTGATAAATAAGAAATAATTGATGTAACTTGAATTAAATGAAGCTTGTCTAAAATGCAAAATAATTGCTTTTTTTTAATAAGAAATATGAAAGTAATGTAAAATATTTTTTTTCAAAAATGATCTTGATAAATTTGATAAAGAAATAATATTTACTATGCAACTAATTTTAATTTTGTGAGCATTATTCGTCATGTTATCCTAAATATTCCAACAACCAATTAGACCACAACCCATTTGGAATTTGGATTTCATGAGCTAGCTGATCAAGCAGAGTTTTACATCTCGATCACCTAAAACACTTAAAATTAATAATTTGCAACTTTCAAAAATATATTTGTTATCATCAAAATCCAACATAAAGAGTCATATGACTCACGGGTTAACAAATTTCATGAGATACAACTTTCACATTTGTTAATATATATTATGTGGAGGAGTACATTCAAATTGAATCTTTTTTTTTTCTCCATCTGAGTGTCTAATACATCAGATATTATTATGTGCAGAGTACGGACAAATAGAACAATTCAGTTTTTTTTACTGTGAACAGTAAAAGCGCAGTTATTGTTCACCACAGCGCTTTTAATTTACTGTTCACCACTATGTTTTTTTATTGTGCTTTAAATATTCACAATCACAAAATCGAACAGTTCTTTGTGTCCGACCTCCACATGTAATAATCTCTCCTAATACATAGATATATTCTTCAAATTGTATTTTTAAAATATGTAGTTTAATTAATAAACATAACTTATTCTCGTAAACTTGCACTCCTAAAATCTAGAGATCTGCCTTGCTAGTTGAAGGAATAGTTGAGAAGCAGGATTGCTTGTAAGGCGGTTTAGATTTTGATGGCAGGTTTCCTGCAAGATGTTTGTGATAGAGTTTAGGAGAACTGAAATTGAAAGAAAATAAAATGATTAAGGTTAAAATATATATGTGCCTTTATTCCATAATTTAAGTGGCGTGGCCGTGGAGAATTAGATAATCCGTTTCTCAAAATCATGAAACTTCCTACAGGAAGTATGTGTCTGTACGTGCCGCATATGGCTAGCTTGCTTAAGCAACAACGTTAGCTTTGTTGTGGGGTGACTTTCAGGTACGTCAGAAAAGCAC